GTTAAACTCTTGCAATGCCCTCTCTTAATTATATTCAACACCCTCCCATGAGAATTGTGACTGAGGTTATACAAATACACAGTTCCTGATTCCAGCCATTTCGGCTTCACTTTGGTGTTTGTTGTGCCCATTACTGCTAGTATATAGCCAAATAATGACTAAAGCTGAAACCCTACCCAGATTTATTTAGGAGTTAGGCCCACTGAACACAGTTGGACTTACTTCTGAGGAAACATGTGTGGGATCAGACAATGACAGCCCTAAAAGTTCACTTTCTTCTGTTTATCTGAGATCTTGTTCCATCAGCTCTATGCTCTCCTGAGATCTTGTTCTATCAGTAATATGCATTGTACTGGGCAATTGGGAGATGCTCCAGAACATCTTTCAGGGGGGCAGGAGGCTGCCAGATGAAGGAAAAGGTAAATCCCAGTCGACAACTGGTGGTCTCCCTGCACAATACTGGATGTAGAGCTAAGTCTCCTCCCAGAGTGAAATGAGGCCTGTGGTTACTAGGGAGAGTAATTTCTTCAGGGTGGCACTCCCACAATGAAATTGCCTCCACAGAAAAGTTCACCTGGTACTTTCTTTATACCCTTGCCAGCACTTGGTGAAGGCCTTTTTCCAGACCCTTTTGAGTCCCTTCTCTGAAATCTGCTTTCAGGACAACACAATTTTAAAATATGAGCTGCTGGTTTATGATGTAAATGCCCCTTGGACTGTCCAAAATGGTCCATCCCTGCTGCAGACTGTGGGTATTTGGAGTCATGATGCCAGCCGCCCATTCTAACATAAGCACCCTGCTAAACCGACTTGGAACCACAATTTCCTGGGCTCACTTCTTCTGGAGTTTGGTATTCAGAAGTCACCTGCTTCTCCTTGGACTGCAGGGGTTGAAACTGTATCTCCCAGAGACCTTCCTAGTGAGTCGTACTCTGCCTTCTACCCACCCAAGCATCCTGCTGTTTGACATACCACCCCTTTGCTCTGCAATTAGAGCTGCTTTGGCATTCCCAGGATGGAACTGTCAGCAACTTCTCAGGCCTTATTATGTGCTATCATGCATTCACGGGCTGTCCCTAAAAGCGAGCTTTCAGTCCAGTTCAAACAAGTTCATTCTCACATAGAAATAAGCCTCCTTTTGGCCTGATTTTCTGCTGCTGTTGTGAGTTACAAGCAGGAAGGCCTGCCTTTTCATTGTTTTTCCACCTCATCTACACACTTTCTTTTGTTTAAACTTTCATTTATCATCCTTCTTCCATGAAATAGTTGATCCTCTACAGTTTTAGGGCACAGTCCTATGTGGATTCCTGTAAATTCCTGTGAATTCAGAGCAAGGAGGAGCGCAAAGGACTGACGTATGCTTCCTGTACACTCAGAAACATTTGAACAGCAGATTTCAGCTGTCTGTATGTTTTCCCCCTCCTTGTAAGGAGGGACTGAGGCATGGGCTAGATTTGGAAGAAGCTGGGGGTGCCTTGCCCCTGCCTTCCCTGTCCCACAGAATTGCTCCCAGCACCTGTCCCAAAGGTAAACGTCTGCCTCCAGGCAACATGGCAAGAACCACACCAGCTAAGAGGGCAGAAAGAGGCTCTCTGGAGTCTTTTCCAAGGGCTCCATGTGGACCACACATTTCCTTTGGCCAACCACCCAGCGTCAACTCGCCAAAGGACTGTGCCTTTAGACCCTTGCGGTTCAAGTTGTGATTTAAGTAAGGCTGAAGACTGATTTACATGGAAGAATGGATTGGTTGAGAGTTTCTCTGCTTGATGAGGCCAGAACCTCTTCTGTCTCTTCTCCAGAATGTATTCCTAGTCCCAAGAGTAATACGAGATGCTGGAAGTTTAGTTGTTGCTTCCTGTCCAACCTTTCTTGATGTGAAACCAACATAACAAAGTGCTTTACTGCCAAACAATGTACTGAAATGTGCTTATATATAGAATTGCCACAGATGGAGATAACAACCCTCATCTATATTTAGGTCATGCCAGGTTCCTATGCAAAGAGAGATAATTGATAATTGGAACACGAACAACATCTTTTATCTGTTCTTAAAGTTAAACAAATAAAATTCGGGCTTACCAGCTAAAAATGTAAATTCATCAGTATGTATCTAATCTATCCATTGTGCTAAGATCTGAAGCCTATACAGTCCCTGGATAATTTGGTGCTCTTTTTCCAAGAAAGCCAGGGCAGTGAGCAGTAGACAGAATACCAAACAGAATACTTGCCAAAAATCCTTATTGGAAGTTACCTCAAAAAATAAAATCTCCATGTCCAACCTCATGCTTCAGGAACATATGATGCTCCAGTCCAAATCACTTGAATTTACATGGAAAACATCATGGATTGTATCCAGTGTTAGGACTACTTAAAGTAGACTAACTGAAATGAGTGTGCCTTGAGTCAGAATAACAATGGATTCATCTCCATCATCTTTCTTGCTGTTGAGAAGCCAAGACGATGCTTTTGGATAGAAATATGCTGCAGTAGAACTAGAAAAAAATGAATAACTGCATTTCATATTTTTCATCAGTTTTACGCTACATTCTCATGCATGCTTACCTGGAAATAGGCATTCCAGTTACCTGGACTAACACGCATAGACTTGTGCTGCACAATGAGTATTTTAGTTTGAATATAGCTTTCTATGGAATAAATTTAATTATATAGAGAGATAATTGATGGCTCTGAAGGCTTGTTCCTGTAATGAATTCCATGTCACAGCAGCTTCACTGGCTAGTGGTCTATTTCCGGACACAGTTCAAAGTAGCAGTTAAAACCTACAAGCCCTGCATACCTTCAAGTTATCTGAAGGACTGCATACTCCCATATGAATCTGCCAAGGTTTTAGGATCCTTCTGTCCCACAAGCATCAGAGGCACATTTGATGGAATTTTGAAAGACGGTCTCCTCAGTGGTTGTTCCTATGTTCTGAAGCTCCTTGATATGGGATGCTCATCAACCCCCATCCCTGATTATGTTCCACCAGCAGGACGAAACATTTTTAATTAGACAACTCATAAACTGACTTGCTAATGCATAGTAATTGGTTTTAACTGGTTGGCTTTTCATTGATTTGATTCAGGCACAAATCTTTGGTGTCCCAACATCATTTGGGAGACCATAGGATTTTTCTCGTCCTCCAGCCTTGGTATTCAGACACTGCTGCTTGTGTTTTTGCCCTCTCCTTTCACAGCTGACACAGAAAGTGATCGCAACTGGGCCAGAGAGGGAAGGAGAGGGGAAGGGCTGGGGCTTCAGAGTTGCACTGCTTCCAGCCAGTGCCCCAGCCCCTCTCCCTTCCCCTTGTCAGCCCTAAATCTAAGACCAAAAATGGCAATTTAGATAAAACGCAGCCAAGAGCAGCTCCACCACACCTTGCAGCTTGCATCGCATGCTCACAAGTCTCTGCGTTTGGAGGCTTACAAGCATTAGCCATGAGAGGATACAGTTTTGCCCTCCATGTTTGACATGCCTTGTTTTTCTGTCTTTTCTTTTCTTACCTTTTGTTTTATTATACTCTATTTGGATGATCTGGGATACAAATGTGACAAACAAATAAACAAACATGCAAGCATGGGGAAATAATTTTGCTAATAATCATCAGGTTTCCAATTGCCCTCATTAGGGAGACAGAAAACACACTCATTTTACTACAGCTGACAGTTCCTGTGAGCTTTCTGGTGGTTTAAATTAGCTCTCTGCAAGAGCTGACAGCTATTCTTCCCCCATTATACAACTATTATCAGGAGAACTAGGAACAATTTGTTTCCAATTACTTGAGGTGTTCAGAAAGGTCCCTAGTATGTGAAAATTACATATAGTTCTCAGGTTAAAAGTTTTTTTTAACACTTAGCGTGTTGGGAGGAAGAGACTGCAGATTTTATGTACTGTACAATGTAAAATTATACACATTTAAACAATGAAGAAGAAAGAGTGAGCCAAAGCAAGTGGCCAAAATGTTGCATTTCCAAATTATTTTCAGAAGTGGCTTCTGTGGAGAAAACCAAGAAAGCTGCTTCCAAGCAGCTGCCTTTAACCAAACACAGAAATCTACAAACCCCCAATCTTTTGAGCTGAATGTACAGCCAAGGTTTTGGTCAATTGTTTAAAACCAGTGTGTGAAATTCAGTTTTCTCTTCACCCTTCTGCATCCCTTCCCACTGATAGAATTATTTCTGTCCCAAAGCCCTCAGTGGAGTTCTCCTCTTGGCCTACCTGGGTCCCCAGTGCAATTAATAAACCTGGTTGTCCACGCTCAGGAACCAGGTGCTTAATATCCCGTGTTACCCCAGCAGCTCAAACAATGGAAGAAAGGGGGGCTTGCCTGTCTTAGGGAACAACCAGTTTAGCCTACTTTTAAATAAATAAAGAAATAAAGAAACATAGCAAGTTAATGTCTGCTTTACATTGTGACCTGTTGGTGACTCTCTGGGCATGATCAGCTGGGTGCAATGCATCTGGCCAAGGCGACTTCTTTTATATTGTTATCTATTTTATATTGTTGGTTTTATGTTGTTATTTTTGTATTGTATTGTATTTTATTCTGTGCTGTGAGCCGCCCCAAGGCTTCAGCAAGGGGCGGCATAGAAACGTTTAAATAAATAAATAAATAAATAAAATTATCTTTGCTCATAAAAAGGACTGACCAATAGTTTATCCCCTTTGCACTGACAACCTGTATTTTGGGTCGGACTTGACACTTCTCAATGCCCTCTTTTCCCTCATTACCTTATGCTCTAGATTTGCAGGAAGGCGGGACAGTGGCTCACACTCCTTTTATGGATCCCCTTTTACTTATATTTGAGTATTGACCTTGTGGGGAGGGACAGGGGATCTGAGTAGTCATGTCAAAACCCTGATTTAACAAGAAAGAAAGAGTTTTGACAGCCAATTTCAGCATTTAAAAAGAGGCAAGGAAGTGACAGCCCCTACAGTGTGCCATTTGAGGATGGTGGTGATGTACCAGTTCCATACTGACTTATTCTTCTATCTTTCAGCTCACAACTCCAGCTTTCCCAGTTGTCGTCAAGCTAGGACATGCTCACGCTGGGATGGGGAAGGTAAGGAAGAGACAGTATTGATAGACTCTGGCTCTGCACAGAAATCCTTGCATTCAGAAAATTATTTCTGCCTTCTATGCTTTGGTAGATGAAATGGTGCAAAATTTATTCATTCGAACAAGATGGGTTTCTCAACTTCCTTGCACCAGCTCCCATTTTGGAGGGTCCAGTCCATTTGCTGAGAATAGGCATGAGGTCAGACTATATGAGAGAAGAGAATGGGGGTACAGATGCAGGATGTTAGAGTAGATAACAGTCATGGGACAGATTACATGGCAGAGGGGAAAGGAACTTGTCTTCAGGGCCAGTTCACATAATTTGGAAAGCTGGCTGAACATGAACAGATTTTTTATTCTGCACAGATGGAAACTTTTGATGCTTCCAGATGGGTTTTTAATTGTGAAAGCATCATGCCTCGGTCATGGGATTTTGCAGGCAGTCAAGGTATATTTGTCCACTGGTAAACTCCCCACCTTTTCCCATTGTTTCTTCCTTTCCTTTTCTTTCCACACAAAATCCATTGAGGAAGAGATGTGATAGCTGCACAATGACATTGGACTGGCTGTGTTAGGAGCCACCTGTCTGGAGGCATCCGAAGAACAGCATAGCATAGCAGAAGGTCCAACTGCATTTGGTTTCATATTGAGTAACTCCAGTCACAGGCCTTTCACACTCATTTTTAATGCAACAACAAAAAAGAAAAGAAAACTATGATTTGAAAAATGCATAAGCAAGAATCTAAAATTACCAGTAAAGAAAGTTCAGATCATACATGGATTGGGCTCACACAGCACAAGAAGCCACAATGCTTTTTAGTCATTCTTTGTTTGATGGGTCATCCAAACCCAGTCATGATATTTCAGAGTTATATTTAAAGCTTAGTTCACACAAACCATCAAAAGAAACAGTGGCTTGTTCTATGGTTTCTGCTTACCACCACTGCTTGTTGTGTTGCCCCAATCTGGACAACAAGGATGCATCATGGAATGCATCCTATTCATGCAAAGCCAGGTTGTTCACAGGCAATCTGATCCCATGTCATTTTCTTTACGCAAGCCATTAGCCATGCCTGGCACCAGTGGTCGGCACACCTGAGTAGCTGCCCAGGGTGCAAAGGCTCAGAAGGATCCCTTTCCCTCAATCTGCTGCAGCTGTTTGCCTCCCCCCCCCCCCCCAGTTAGCCACACTGGAATTGCCACAGTCATGCCTCTAGGCTCAGCATCTCCATACTGGAAAGAGAAAAAAAATGTGCTATTTACATTTTCAGTAGCAGCAATCTGAACCACTCAGAAACTGCCTTTGAATGAGAGTCATCATGGCCAGAGGAGAACAGAGAAGACCTTATGTCATTATTGTGCCTTCATTTGCTGAGTCCCCTACAAGGGCAGCCTCTGATTGGCTCACCTTGCTGTTACCCAAAAAAGGAATGAAGACACCCAAACAACTGTTAAATCATGTGGGGGGTCAGCCAGATGAGGTGATGAGGAGGAAGAAGAGCCACCGCTGCCTCCAGCCCAGAATAGAGGGTGAGCATGCAAGCAATCTGTGTGGGTCGGCAGGCGGGCCAGCTAGCAAGGGGCTTCAGCTGGCCAGCCACTATGGTGGCAGTGCGCTAAACTCTGGTGCTGGCTCTGTCCTTTCTACACCATACTTTGCCTGCCTAGCTAGGAGGTTTTCATGGTGTCCTCAGCATCCCATACTGTCTGCATCTATACCATCCTAGTCCATTCATACTTCCCCAACTGATTAAACCACTCCAAGGTGAAGCAGGAAATCAGACCCCAAAGCCCATGTTCAAATTCCAGGGAAGCCTTTGAGGATGTCTGCTTCCTTGTGAAGGCCCCACACTGAGACTGGCCAGTGGGGCTGAACCTTTCCAGAAATGATCAGGAAAGCAAGATGGCTGTTGCAAACAAGACAATTCCTTCCCAGTCACCCCAAGTTTCTTCCTGCCAGCCAATGGCCAAAGTTAGATTGTGCCTATGGAAGGATTAGTGGTTCTAGAGCAGGGTTTTGCCAATCTGTTTTTGACTACATCTCCCAACATTCCTGTGCATTACCCATGGTGGCTGCAACTTATGGGAACTGAAGTCCAAAACATCTAGTAGGGGAAGCTTGTTCGAGAGTTTATTCAGAGCAGAATGGTTGTATGCCTGAATGATTTTTTGGCTGCCAACTTTTATCTTGTTTTTAATTCAACAAAAATCAATGCTCATTTTCCAGTGCATTATGCAAGCTCATAGTCTCTCTGTATAGGTTTTGCCCCACAGCAAAAGGACCGGTTGAGGGCCCCCTGTTTGCTCCTACTGAATGGAAGGCCCTGTTATTTCTCCTTCCTCAGAAGAAATATAGCCATTCACTTACCAGGATTTCACAGAAAGGGAAAGAAGTAGACTTTCCTTTAGTTTGGTTGACTGCCAAGAAAGAAATCCTAAAAACAGTTTTCTTCCAAACCTGTTTGTTTTTCCCAGACTCTCAGGAGATTCTCCTACATTCAGTGGATTAGCAAAATCAGCAGCTATGGGAACTGTAAATGAAACATTCTCTGCATTTTGAATGAACTTCATATAAGCATCTTGGCTTCCAGTGAAGCATAGATTTGACCCTGACATCAGGGCAAGTGATACTGGTCTGAAATATTTAGGACGGTATATGATCTGATTGTGTGTGTGTGTGTGTGTACTCAACCTTTCATATCCAAAACAATATGGTTAAGTGGCATAAACACCACAAGAGCCTCCTTATTTTCTCTACCCACCCACAAAATATCTCAATTAAAATAAGCCAATCCTCTCTTCACATGCAACATGCAGGGTTAAAGAAGCTTTGGGGTCTCTCGCAGTTAGCTGTTTCCCCATTCACTTCTAGGTCCCTGCCCTGCTTTCAGAAGCTCCTTGTAGCTTTCACAGAGGAAGTTTGATTTTGGATATGGGCAACTTCTAGGACCAATCCAAGGAAAAGGACCTTAAATAAAAAGAAATAAAGCTGAAATCTATTTAGGAATGGGGAGAAATTATCAGTTGGGTTCAGCTTTGCTCACAAATAACTCAGAATTGCTCACAAACATTCAAATGTATGATCTTGCGAACTAAAATTTGTTGCTACCTTCCCTGTTATAAATGCCAATAGATTTTGGAATTTAGTGAGAAAGGAGATAAATTAGCTAACATCCCATCTAAAAGCAACCCTCAGTCAAATTTCCAAATTTTTCTATTAAAAAAAGGCTTCAAAATGCTAACAGGTCCACAATTTCATTTTATTCCATATGGGAAGCAACATTATTTTGACCTTATTAAAATATTAACACCGTTAACAATTATTAACAGTGTTGTCAATGCATTACAGCATGACACGATCTTCTTTATGTAATGCCAGCCATGAGCAGAGCCAACAGACAAGAACTTGAAATCTTCTTGACCAGAACAACTGCATCGCAGCAACGCAGGGATGAGGGGCATTCATTTTGCTTTGCTCTAGGAGCCAAGCTGTGCTAATCTTCAGGTAGTGTACAGTTTTTAGAGCTAAGCACACCCTAAATTTCCTTTATTACAGCTCTGTCACTTTTTGTGATGTGGACCTTAACTGCTTCCTGCTTATGTTAATATAAAGCTAGCTTTGCAAATGGAAAGTCATTTGCAGCCTTCATTCTAATTGGATGGCATTTCTTAGCAGGCAGCAGCGTCCTTGGCAATCTTTATCCAGACCCCTTTCATTTCTGTTTGCTGATTTGTAAGCATCACATATGCATGATCCTTTAAGTCCAGGCAAATGCACCCTGTTCCCTTGCCCCAGTTGTTCTAGGCTCCCAGTCATTAGCCCCTCTTAGAATCTGCACTCAGACCCAATATAGGCATCAAAAGGGTTGAACACTGTCCCCTTCACACAGGGGTCTTTCACAACATCCATATCAGGAAGCTGCCCACTGGCAGCCACTTGAAACAGGACCATGTGGTCCCAGGTTCACAGGGCAAGTCAACTTCCTGGAGTCCCAGCAACAACAATGTGCTCTCTTACCCATTGTTTCCAGTAGTTTGATTGAAATTGTCCAAGTCAAGTGCCCAAGATATTCAGATGGATGATGGTACATGGAGCAGCCACATTTCTGTCAGTCAGCATCACATCGCAAGCAGCCACCCTGCAACTGTTTGTATAATTTAAATGAACCATTCCAACAGGAGTAGGCCAAATTATCTTAAAAAACCTAAACTGATGAAAAGTGTAAACCAGTGAATATCAAGTGCTACAAAGGCCCAGATATAGGATAGGCAAGGTGGGCAGTCACCTCCCCAGCAGGTAATTTACAAACATAGTAGCTGTAAAATACTGTTACTGATATTAATAGTACTAAATTGCCTGCAGGGGGGCTTACTGTCCCTGCAACCCTAATCCAGATTCTGTCCAGTTGTTGCATATTCTTGGATATGCACTCCTTAAATTTAAAGGCATTCCACCCATATTCACATAGACAGACACACTAGGAAAAAAAATGCTTGCCAGACTGAACCCTACCACCAATATGTTCCTTCATAACGCAGAAGATCCCTCTTTCCTTCCAGACTGTAAGATTAAGAATCCAGTTCCTCCAAGGGCCAATGCATGCAACCTTTATCTGGATTAATTTCAAACAAGGTTAACCTCCGATTTGTAAGGACTAGTTTATTACTGAGCCTTTTTCAAGGAAACAAAAGGGGAGTCAAGGATGTATTGATCAGCATGGGCACTGGTTACCAAGAAAAGCAAATTCCAGGTCTTGACACATTGGCTGAATTCATACAGTTCCTTACCTGGCTCAAGCTGTCAAACAACTGCATAGTTTCCACTCATGCATGCTTTCCACCATCTTGCCTCAATCCTCCTATTCGCAGCATGTATCCCGTCAGCCTCTGACACTGAAATTCAATCCCAGGGTGCCCTGCCTACGTTGCCTGCCTCTTCTTGATTGGTCTGCATATAGAGGCTGAATGGCTAGAGTGGCTCCTGCAATTGCTGCTCTTTACATG